GCACCTCTGTCACCAGATCTGGGGCACGTGGGGGGCACCTGGCACCTCTGCCAGCAGGTACGGCCACCTGGGCATCAGGTGAGGGGCACCTGGGGGGCACCTGGGCACTGTATCTGGGGCACCTGGGGCACCTGGCAGCTCTGCCAGCAGGTACGGCCACCTGGCACCTGGGCACTGGGTGAAGGGCACCTGGGGCATCATGTGAGGAGCACCTGGCACCTGGGGCACCTGGCTGCTGGGTGAGGGGCACCTGGGCACCGTACCTGGGGAACCTGGGGGGCACCTGGCAGCTCTGCCAGCAGGTATGGCCACATGGCACCTGGGCACTGGGTGAAGGGCACCTGGGGCATCTCTGTCACTGTGTCTGGGGCACCTGGCAGCTCTGCCAGCAGGTACAGGCACCTGGGCACCAGGTGAGGGGCACCTGGGCACCGTCTGGCACTGTGTAAGGGGCACCTGGGGCACCTCTGCCATCGTGTCTGGAGCACCTGGGACACGTGGACGTGTGCCCACGTGGAAGGAGAGTGACCACATCCACAAACCCGGGCACCGCGGGGGGGACCACCCCGCCCTCCGACCCCCGCGACCACCAGCACCACCATCACCATCATCATCCTCACCCTGCTGAGCCCCGCGCGCTCCTGCCCGGCCGTGTGCCGCTGCTCCGGCGGCCGCGTCTACTGCAACGACCGCGGGCTGACGGCCGTGCCCGAGGGGCTCCCTCCCGGTGCCACCACGCTGTTCCTGCAGAACAACCGCATCGGCGACGCGGGCATCCCGGCTCGCCTGGGCCGGCTGCCGGCGCTGCGGGTGCTTTACCTGTACGCCAACGCGCTGGAGCAGCTGCCGGCTCACCTGCCGCCGGCGCTGCGGGAGCTGCACCTGCAGGAGAACAACGTGCGCGGCCTCTGCCGCCGGGCGCTGGCCCGGGCGCCGCTGCTCGAGCGCCTGCACCTGGACGATAACTCGGTGTCGGCGGCCGGCATCGAGGAGGACGCGTTCGCCGAGAACCGCCGGCTGCGCCTCCTCTTCCTCTCCCGCAACCACCTGAGCAGCGTCCCCGCGGGGCTGCCGCCGGCGCTGGAGGAGCTGCGGCTGGACGACAACCGCATCCACACCATCCCGCTGCGGGCCTTCGAGGGGCTGCCGGCGCTGCGGCGCCTGGTGCTGGACGGGAACCTGCTGGCGAACCAGCGCATGGCCGACGACACCTTCAGCCGCCTGGGCAACCTCAGCGAGCTGTCGCTCGGTCGGAACGCGCTGGCGGCGCCGCCGGCGAACCTGCCCCGAGCGCGGCTCCGCCGCCTCTCGCTGGCCGCCAACGCCATCAGCCACGTGCCCGCCGGGGCTCTGGCGAGGATGAGGGCGCTGGAGAGGCTGGACCTGTCGGACAACAACCTGACCACGCTGCCCCGGGGGCTCTTCGACGACCTGGGCAGCCTGAGCCACCTGGGGCTGCGCAACAACCCCTGGTTCTGCGGCTGTAACCTGGCCTGGCTGCGGGACTGGCTGCGGCGCCGCGCCCCGCCGCGCCTGGAGGTGCGGGGGCTGCTGTGCCAGGCGCCGGCGAGGCTGCGGGGGCTGCCGGTGGGCGAGCTCCGGGGGGAGATGGACGCCTGCGAGAGCCCGGCCGCGGGTACCGGGACGTCCCCCGGTGCGTCCCCCGCCGCGTCGCCGGTGTCACCGGGAGGAGCCGCCGCCGCCGCGCCGGGGCTCTGGGTGCAGGCGGCTCCCGGGGGGGCGCTGAGGGTGCGGTGGCCGCCGGCTCCTCCCGGGGCGTCGCTGAGGTTGAGCTGGCTGCGGCCCGGGGGGGGAGCCGTGACCGAGACCTTGGTGCGGGGGGAGCGCGGCGAGTACGTGGTGCGGGCGCTGCAGCCCCGGGCCCCGTACCGGGTGTGCCTCGCCGCCCTGGAGCCCCCCGCCGCTCCCCCGCTCTGCGCCCAAGCCCGGGCGGGGGCGGGGACCCCTCGGAGCAGGACGAGCAGTGGGGGAGGGGGACACGAGGGGTGGGGAAGGGGGGGGTCACACCAGGGCCCTGCCAAGGTCACGCGGGTGTCACTCGCCACCCCCATTCCCCCACAGGGACCTCGGGGATTCCCCTCCGTGACGGGTGAGGGTCCCCCGTGAAAGCCCCGCCCCTTTCGTGCAAGCCCCGCCCCTTTCATGCAAGCACCACCCTCTTTGTGGGAGCCACGCCCCCGAGAACGCCTATTCCCAGCGAGACCTCCGCGCCGCCAGGGAGCGCGCTCCGTCTCCACCTCGCCCTCCTTTTTCCCCCTCTCCTGTCCTCTGTGACCTGCGCCGCTCGCAACCAATGGGAGAAGGGGAAAATTCCAGAAGTCCCAGAGGAACCCAGCCAATCAGCGCCCAGCGCCGGGAGACTCGCCCAATGGGAGCGCGCGGGGGCGGGCCGCGATGCCGGCTTCCGCCGGGGGGCGGCTCTGGGAGAGGGCGCGCCCCGCTGCGCGCGGCAGCCAATGGGAAGGCGGGAACGCGGGAGATCAGCCAATGGGAGCGCCCGCGGGGGCGGGCGGGCGGGGCGCGCGGCCAATGGGGCGCGGGGGGCGTGGGGCCGGGGGCGCTCCCGGAGCGGGGCCGGCTCCCAGCGGGTGTTGTGCGGTCCCGAGCGGGGCTCGGTGGTCGCTGCCGGGCTCGGGGCGCTCTGAGGGGACGGCGGGGCCCTGAGGGAGCTCGCGGGGGTTTGGCCTTGTCTGGGGGTCCCTGAGGGGTCCCGGGGAGCTGAGGGGTCTGGAGGGGTTTGGGGTCTCCGGGAGGCGCCTCGTTTCTCACGTTCTTGTTCTTTTTCCTTCCCTCCTCTTCTTCTTCGCCTCTCCTTCATCCTCACCTCCCTCATCTTCATCCTTCCGGCCTTGCTCACGCCTCTCGTTGCTCTCGCTCTTCTCCCTTTTCCTGCCACTTGCTCTCCCTTGCCTCTTCATCCTCCTCATCTTCCTCGCGCCTTCGTTATCCTCATCTTCCTCACACTTTGATTCTCATCTCCTTCACGCCTTCATCCTGCTCGTCCTTCTGACACCTTCGTCCTCCTCATCCTCCTCATCTTCCTCGCACCGTGCTGCTCCCGGCCCTTCGCTGTTCTCTCTCCGTCCTTTTCCCATGGCTCTCCTTCATCCTCTCCCGCTCCCCTGCCTCCTCTTCCTCCTCCTTTCCCGTTCTTCTTCTTCCTCACCCTCTCCCCGTTCCCCTACCTGCTCTTCCTCCTCCCTCCCCATTCCCCTGCCTCTTCTTCCTCCCTTTCCGTTCCCGTGCCTCCTCTCCCCGTCCCCTTGCCTCCTCTTCTTCTCCTTCTCCCGGTTCCCCTACCTGCTCTTCCTCTCCCCTGTTCCGTGCCTCCTCTTCCTCGTCCTCTCTCTCTCCCGTTCCCGTGCTTCCTCTCCCCATTCCCCTGCCTCCTCTCCCCATTCCCCTGCCTCCTCTTCCTCTCCCTCTCCCCATTCCCCTGCCTCCTCTTCCTCTCCCCATTCCCCACCCTGCTCTTCCTCTCCGCGTTCCCGTGCCCCGTCTCCCCCTCTTCTATTCCCGTTCCTCCTTTTCCTCTCACTCTCCCCTGTCCCGTGCCTCCTCTTCCTCACCCTGTCTCTCTCCCGTTCCCTCTCCCGTTCCCGCTCGGTTCCCTGTCCCGTTCTCTCTCCCGTTCCCTCTCCGTTCCCTGTCCCGTTCCCACTCGGTTCCCGGTGCCATTCCCTCTCCCGTTCTCTCTCCCGTTCCTTGTCCCGTTCCCGTTCCCTCTCCCGTTCCCTGTCCCGTTTCTCTCCCGTTCCCTCTCCCGTTCCCGCTCGGTTCCCTGTCCCGTTCTCTCTCCCGTTCCCTCTCCGTTCCCTGTCCCGTTCCCACTCGGTTCCCGGTGCCATTCCCTCTCCCGTTCTCTCTCCCGTTCCCTCTCCCGTTCTCTCTCCCGTTCCTTGTCCCGTTCCCGTTCCCTCTCCCGTTCCCTGTCCCGTTCCCTGTCCCGTTCCCTGTCCCGTTTCCACTCCGTTCCCGTTCCCTGTCCCGTTCCCGGTGCGCTCCCCGCAGGCTCAGGAGCTGAAGGAGCGGGGGAACCGGGCTCTGGCGGCGGGGGACGTGGGGGCGGCCGTGGGGCACTACTCGGCCGCCATCGCCCGGGACCCCAACAACCACGTCCTGTTCAGCAACCGCTCGGCCGCCTACGCGCGCCTCGGCGACTACAGCCGGGCCCTGGCCGATGCCTGCCGCACGCTGGAGCTGCGGCCCGACTGGGCCAAGGTGGGCAGGGGGCTCTGGGGGGCGTGGGGGGCTCGG